GAGTGGCGTGTGTGTAAGTGCGGCAGAGAACATGGCGGAACCCTGATGTGATTCGAAGGCTTTGCTTGGTGTGAGGTGGTGGAAAGGAATCCACAGGAAAGCTCTCAAAAAGCTTTGCTTGCAGCAGGAACTCTTGTTGCAACCTCCTGCCTGCCCTTAAATTCACATCCCCACAGTTTTAAACTGATGTGTAATCTCTGTGGGAAACGCAGACTTAATAAACAGTCCAAGGACTCTTTTGTGTCAACAAGAGTCCAGTTTGTTTTCCTTCACGTTTGCAGCCATGTTGGTCCTGTTCAGCTGTGTGAATTCAGGCCTGGCGCCTTCTGCCTGTTCCCATCTAGAGTATGGAATTCAAATATACTTCTTTTTATTTCTTTCCCTTCTTCCCCACCCCCCTATCTCCAGGGTAGTGATAGAACCAAAGTACAAATATTTGTCTTTCCTGGTCTAACATGTTTTTATATGGTGCTGAGAGCCCTCTCTTTATTCAGCTGTCTGACTGCTCTGGCCACCTTGAAATATAGAAAAAAGCTCAAGGTCACTCATCTGAGAAACAAAACTGCCATCAGCTTGGCTGGTGAAGAGAGGAGTCACACATGGCAGAGGTTTGGCAATGGGAAGGAATGTGAGGAGCAGAAGCCTCTGAAGCAGTCCTGCCCTTGCCTCAGTGCAAAAGGCAGCAGTATGGTTATTGCAGGCTGTCAAAGGAAGCATTTGGTGCATGAAATTGTTTCCCAAGAACCACCTCAAACCTAACTGCAGGTATCTGCAAGTGAACTGTTAGTATATTGAGGTGAAATTTCAGGTACTCTGGGATCTAGACCAGAGGTGGTCCTGCCTTCATGCAGCTGGATGCTGCCCCTGATAATATCAGGGCAAAGGAGCTCTAACTTCTGTTACAGGAAGCAAGTACAGAGTGCTGAACGCTGGAATGTTGCAGAGAAGTCGTGTATGGTGGTAGTATAGCATATACTAGTTTTCACGTGGGTAAGAAATGAGAGTAAGTGCATAGATTTTAACGAATATTGAGCCTTGAGAATCTTGCCTCCCTCCTCCTGGTAATCCTATTTCTTACTAGCAATAGTATAAGATAATGGAAATCGCAGAAAAGCTGAGTAAATGGTGTAGACAGTGTATGGTCAGCTCAGTTTGTGGAGAGAAGAAAACCAAATGAGTTTAATTGCAGGATCACAGCAGAGGGAAGGAACCTTCTCGCCCCTCTCAGGCTTCTCCTTGTCAAAGCTTTAATCACCAAATTCTTGTTGCCCTTCTCTGGGATAGATGGGAAACTTGTGTTTTTTAACTGAGGGTGGTCAAACACTACAACAGGTCTCCCAGAGAGGTTGTGGAGTCTCCATCCATGGAGAAACCACAGATGCCAAAACCCGACAGGGCAACAGGCTCTAGGTGACCCTGCTTGAACAGTGGCATTGGACTAGATGAGCTTCCAACCTCAGCCATTCCGGGATTCTGAGATTTACAGCAATGTCTTTTTGAGAGGTTGAGCCTTATACCATGGTGGGCACCAAACATGTTAGTGGCTTGGACCTTTGCCTTTTTAATGAAGAGATGCCACAGGGTCAGTGATAAATCCTTTCTTGTGTAGGCTGCAATATCTCCTGACACTGGCCTAGACGAAGAGCAGAAATCCCAGTCCTGAATATTTGCTCTGAGGCAGAAGTTGCTCTTTGATACCCCCAGGGAAATGCTGCAGCCCTTCTCTGGCATAAGGGTACAAGAGGCAGAGGTAAGCCATGCACTGGGTGTCCTCCAAGACTCATCCTGCACAAGCTTTGGTCATCAAGATGAAAGATTAGGCTAGATGGAGGTTTCATCTTGAGGAGGTCACTTCCCCGAATTTTATACCAACCTTGGGATCAAAGTTTATGTAATTGCATAAACAAAATTGCTTTGATGTCTGTTTGCAAAGACTGGAGCTTTGAGGAGTACCAGAGTTAAAAAAACAGGCGAGGGGCTCCAGGTGAGGTATCAGCAGAGCATGAAAGAGGAGGAGAGTGGGATGCTTGAGTGCTGCCCGGAAGAGAGACTACAGATCTGTCATTTGGGGAGCAGAGTATTGCTGGGCAACCGCTGGAATATGCACCCCAGGTAGTTGCATATGGGGCAGCTTCTCAGCCATTCAGTACTGGAGCAGGAAGGGGACAGAGCTGTGAGCTTCAGGCTTCATGACACCATCCCTCTTAACCTAATGTTTCTGAGGGTCATGCAGTACAAGCTATACAGGGAGCAGATCTCAGGCTTTGAATGTCTCAGTCACGGCCCCAAGTTAATCTCTGAGCATGTTGCTTGTGCCCTTCTGTCTCTTTTTGCACACTTGAGTCTCAGCATCTGTAAAATGGAGATGATGACTGCTGTGGGCAGATAGCATGTCATTGCAAAATCAAGAGGGCTTTCAGTAGCTGCATATTAACTATATGGGGGAAACTAAAACTCACAAAAGTCTTTGATTACCTGAGCAGGCTCTGAAAGCATCTGGAGTGGCAGTTGCCACAACGGCAGGGCTGCCTGAAAATAGATGGTCAGTCCTTAAACAGCATGAATTAATCTTGGTATTGCTTATTGTTAGTGAAGTAAACATCTGGATTCATAGCTTGGATTCATAGGGAGGTTTCTCCCTCTGTTCTCTCTTCCCTCCCCCCCCATCTTCCTTGAAAGAGACTTGGCTGCTTAGTTTAGTAAAGCATTTAATGTGGGAGAGCCTTAAGATCTCAAAAAAGAAATGCTCAGTGTGTAGAAAGGTTGATCCTGGAGGTCCCTTCCAACCTGGTATTCTATAATTCGGTGTATTCACCTATAGTTTAAGGAGAGAGAAGCAGCTATTGGTGTTTACAGCAGTTTGTAACTCCGTGCTCACAAGGGCAGTAGCTCTTGCTCAGGGACATTCCAGCTACGCTGCATGAGGAGCAGCAGCAGGAGGAGGCCTGAGAGGAGTAAGGCTTTGACTGGGTCCAGCTTGCAGAATTTTTCAGCTGTGTTATTGCATCCACAACCATGGTCTTCATCATCTTTCCTTTCACAGGAAATGAAAGTGCTAAATCTTTTGGCTAGATTCAACAATAGACATTAAGGCAAGCAGGAGGGTGTCAGGGTAAAAATGTATATGAACGGAGCACTAATGAGTCCCTGTATGAGCAGTTGAACTGCTGGGCTTGTCCAGGAAGTTCTTACAGAGGTGGCCTTGTCTCGGAAAAGATGGGGGCTCACACACTCTGCAGATTTGCCTTGGGCAGTTACAAAACTTTCACACCTGGAATACTGTGTCCAGTTCTGGGCTCCTCAGTACAACAATTGTATGGACTTTGTGGAGTGAGTCCAGTGCAGAGCCACAGATATGATTAAAGGGATGGAGCATCTCTCCTATGAGGCACTGCTCAGCCCGGGGAAGAGGGGATCTCATTAATATGTATAAATACCTGATGGAAGAAGGGGAAGCTGGGTTCTTCTCAGTGGGTGCCTGGGTAAGACTGACAGGACAAGGGGCAATAAGCTGAAACACAGGAAACTCCTGTCAATTCCACATGAACATTTTTATCTTCCTTCTTTTTTCCTAACTGTGAGGGCAGTCCAAAACTGGAACAGGTTGCTTGAGAGTCTCCGTCTGTGGAGATACCCAGAACCTGACTGAGCCCTGGGCAACTTTGTCTTGAGGAAGATGCAGTAAATTTACAAAAGGCAAGGATGGGATGCTTATGCCATGTTAGGTGCTGTGAGTTACTGTCTCCTGCAAGGGCAGGAATTGCTGTTTCAAAATGGATTCTTGATAGAGGCTCCCAAGGAAATTAGGCTCCAAGGCTTGCCTCTCCTCTTTGGATTTAAGGGCTTGTCTCATCCAGCAGTGAGCTACCTGTGAAGGCAGTTGCTCAGTGTATGCATAAGCTGGCATCTAGAGTAGTTGCCCTTCTGCTACCTTGCTAAGTCTGGATGTTTTTTCTACTTTTGCTGCTCTAGGAGGGCATACAGTTGAGATAGCTATGAAAAGTGTTTCAATGATCGAGTGAGAGACTGTTCTAATCTTTCAAGATGTGGTGGGCTTAAAATGTGTGTATCTTATCTACTTAATACGCTTTCATATCACATCATATCGTCAATACATCATCAGCCATCAGTGTCATCAACAGAGATGTACTGTCTCTTCTGATAAGTTATGCATTCTCATCCGCTGTTTTCTTGAGTCTCTCTGGAGAGAGAGCTGATGTTCAAATGGAAATGGAAGTGGTAGCATTGCCATTTGGTGCATACAGACTGCTTGCTTGCTTCTCAAAGCTAATAGTAATCTGAGGGTGCTCTGCTCCGCAGCTGTCCTACCTCTGCAACTGTGTGGTGGCCAGATAACATAAGGAGAAATTCCAGTTGCTGGTGCAGTGGGTTCCATTAAAATCCTTGCTCACAACCCAAAGCAGCCTTCCTTGTATTAGTTGAGGGCAGTCAGCAGTGTATTCTTGTTTTGTTAGGTGATGTGTGTATGGGTTATGGTCATCTCACTATCATTTATAGCAGAGCCACGTGCTAGCTGCTAACCTGCTTTTTCATTCCTAACTATAAGTGTTGGCTTCAGTCATCTTTGACTCTGTACTGTTGATTGAGTGCGGTACATGAGAGTCCAAGCAAGGAAATTCTCAGTTGTAGCCTTGGGTCTGTGTTTTGTATGTGTGTTTGCTTGCTTTTATAGCACAAGTTATTCAGATTGCTCCCATACGAGTAAGTGGATGTCTTACTACATCTGCTGCATCTGTCCATTGTGTCTTGTCTGGCAGTCACCTCTGACCTGGGGACAGGGCTGTGACTCTGGATTAGACCAGCAGCAGGGAGGCATTTCTGTAAATGACCTCTGGATCTGAATAACCAGCCCAGTGACAGTGTTGATCTCCTTGTGGATATTGCCAGCATCTAGGTCAGACTGAGGAAGGAGAGCAGGCTTCTCCCACCTGGATTTGAAGCTCTAACACCCATCTGTACTTTCCTTTCTCTTCCCACAGGTCAATGCAGTGCGAGTGTATGTGAACAGCAGCTCTGAGAACCTCCAGTATCCTGTCCTGTTTGTAGTTCGCCAACAGAAGGGAGTCCTGTCATGGCAAGTCCCACTAATTTTTCGAGGCCTGTAAGTACTAGAGTCTTTTCTTTGTAACGCACTTGTCTGCCAGCTCTATCCCTCATCAGCCTTCCTCAAGCACTACATCTTGCTGCTTGTGTAGACCACAGGGCTTGGTTGCAAAGCATGCTTGCTTACTGTCAGCTGAACATAGGAAGATCAGGATTTGGTAGGTAACCTCTTACTTGGCAGCCTGCTCTTGGTTTCTCTTGTTTTCTCAAATCTCTTTGATTTGAGATTTGAGAACCAAGTCTCTTGGTTTCTCAAATACGTACATGGTGCAGCAGGTTTGTCTGCTGGGGATCTGCCTGTATTGCTAGTCAGTGAATCTACTACACGGCATTGTTGTCACTTCCACAGTTGTGCATGGTGTGTGCAAGTAGTTCTTGTGCTCTAGTTTGGAGCAGGGTTTGAACAAGCTCTCAAAAGAGCACCCTAACTGCTGTGTTACAGTGGCTCTGGGGAATGAGGGCTTTCCTCTGTCACGTCATGTACACTGAAGTTGAGTCTATTATGGGTGGTGGTGGTTGTTTTGGGAATGTTTTCTTTGTGAAAGTGATGCTGCTCTTGTATCTTCAGCAATCTCAGAGCTCATTAGGCTGCAAGTACTGAGAATTTGCAGGTACCTTAGACCATCTGAGATGGGAAGCTTCAACCTGTCACTGAAATCCTGGTGCCTGGCAGCAGATATCCTGCAGTCTTTTGCCTGATGCATGGGGCGGTTACAGCAGTGGCTGTCCTGGGCTGTTGTTGCTCTCTCTGCCTCCAGCAAATGGCAGATGTGCTAGATCTGCAGATGAAGCAAGCAGCCTCGAGGGAAATGAAATGTTGAGGAAGGCCAGTCCCTTGTCCAAACCAGAAAATGCAACAGAGGTGGAGTTTGAGCTCTGAATAAAAGGCTCAATGGTCTTGGCCTTTCAGATTAGCATTTCAGTTATGCAAGCAGGGGATTATGTCATTCGTGGAACTGCCAGACAACTTTTTAACTGCTTTCTCTCTCTTTTCCATCCAACTTACCTTTCCCTCCTTCCCCTGGCTGTTGTAGCTATCAGAGGACCTACAACTACCAAGAAGTGAGTCGGACCCTCTGTCCCTCTGAGCCAACACCTGAGACAGGATCCTCTGACCAGATCATATTTGTGGACGTTGCTTCCATGGCACCATTTAATATTGCGTATGAGCTACTAGTCACCAGGCTTGAGAACTTCCAACTTGAGTAAGCTGGGATGTGAGAACACAAATGTAATTTCTTCATGTATCTGTTCTACAGGGATTTGGTTAATCTGCTGACTCTTCCCTTCTTTTTCCTTCCTTGAACAACAACAAAAAAAACGATTATGTTTTATTTTGCTTAACCTAAAGGTATTTTGTGTGTGTTCCAGCTCTGAAAGTTTTAGACTTCAACATGATGGCATTTCTTTTCTAGGACCAACAAAGCCTTTAACTTCACTGCCAGCCCTTCCCAGCCCCAGGTAAGGAGTCCTGTGTGTCTTACCACATCCAAATGGTTGATGCAATCCTTTGTAAGAGATAGCAAAAGCCTTACATGACTAGGTCATTTCTCTTAGGATGCAGGGAAACTTCTTTACTCTTGGATTTTCTGTGGATATAATGAAGAGGTAACAGTGGCCCAGCACCTCTAGGGGTATGTTTGGGTCCTCTTGCAAAGCACTTAAGTAAACAAAAAAAACATGACCAGAGCAAACGAATAGTGTCTGTAGTTCAGGAAATTCCAGAAATGTACAGAAGTCCAGAGGCCATTGGACTGCTACACTTAATGGGAAAGGAGATGGTGTGCACTAGTATCTTGTTCCAGCCAGTGCTGGTTCAATTGCCTGAGTGTGACTTGCCAAGATACAGTCTTTGTTGGAGAAAAATAAATACATAAATAAGCTAAAGATACAGCAGAACTCACACTGCTATTCCTTGCTCGTGGCAGCAAGGTGAGCTGGGAGGTGATAAATTAAATGCCTGGTTATTAGTTCAGAAGAGAACACACGTGTTCAGCACATCCAGCTGAGCAGCCGTGTTTGTAGCCCTGCAGATACTACAAGTTCTCTCTTGAATGAAAATGCTGTTGGCAGTAACTATAGTGATACAGGAGCTCTTAGAACTGGGGAAGTATGTAATTTACCCAGGCTGTCTGGTACTCCAGTTTTGTTTATGCTATCACTGTTAGTAACACCACTTAATTTTAGGTTTCCTATTACCAGGCATTCCAGCTAATCTTTTTTGCTGTCAAATATCTTAAGCTGGTTTGCAATTACATGCTGTATTTTATACTATAGAAGCAGTAGGGAATGGTGGTGACTCTTTCTAAACCCTCATTACTTAGGATGTTGTAATTTGAATGTTGAGTCTTTAGGATCTGGCCTGGAATTAACTTTGTGACTTTGGTCTGTTATTTAACACAGTTAGTAATATGAGGTTGATGACTTTTAATTACAGACCAGATGTTAGAGAGCAGAAGATGGGTGCTTCTTCATTCCTATAGTGCTCAGGAGTTTGTATATCAAAGTATTAAGCAGTTTGCAGGGGGAAATGAAAAAAAAAAAAGGTAATTCAAAATCTGAATGTGTGTTGGAATAGCTGTAAGACTGGAAAAAGACAAGAAAACAACTGAAGGAGTTGTTGTCTGGAACCCAGCTCATGCCTTAGGGCAGAAGGAAAAATTAGATGTGGTTGTATAGGTCAGGAGTGTTGCCTGGACGTGCTTATACCACTCACAGCCTATGCAGCAGAGAACTGTAGGTCTCAGTGCCCCTTACGTTAATTCTGTACTCTGGTATAAGCATGGCTTAAAAGGATGATGATAGAAGAGTCCTCATGGGTGACTTCCACAAGGACCTATGTCTTTACAAGGGTGGTGCGCCTGGGAAACCAAGGAGCTCAGGCCTCCAGTGTCCTTGCTTGGTGGAGATAGAACTGTGCTCCCCTAGAGAAACCTGCTTGGTGAGCTTTCAGTTTGTAAGGACTTGTAGTTGGAGCCGGTGCTCCCTCAGCAGTGAAGAGACCCTGCTTGGAGGTGGGGGTGATGGCAATAAATGCTGTTGTAGAAATGGACAAACTTGGAAAAAGCCTGTGTGATTTACTGCTTCTCCCTGCCCTTCCAGTTGGGGGCCCTACTTCCTGGGGAGGGGATGGGGGAAGAGAAATAGGCAAGTGCTGGCCCTTGCTCAGCACTAAGGTTTATGTGATGCAAAGGAAGCTTCTTTCCAACTGGGAATTGTCTCAGCTACTGTTTGGAGCAGGAGCTCCTGGGTAGCTTCTGGGGTGGCAACTGTGGCTGCTAGGTGACCATAAGGAAGGGAGGAAGGTGGCTGGTGTCAGTCCTCAGCATCGCTTCCCCTCTGTGGTGTGGTGAGGTGCCCATCAGCCACTCATGGAAACTGCAGCTGTGAGCCTGCACAGCCACATCTGGGCTCTAGGTAGGATAATGGGAGCCCTTGTGACAAGCCTGCCTGCTGGCACAAACCCCTCCTTCTTCAGCAGCCACTTGGTGTAGTATATCAAACTTCCAATGGAAGAAGAAAAAAAAATCTGAAAAGACCTTTGCCGGGACAGGGAAAGGCATTTCCTGACCTCACAGACTGTCCTGTGGGCCTGCTCAAACCATGGGAGCACGAAACCCACCATTCCTTGCCCCCAGAAGAAAAGTAGGAATATTGGCAGGTGTTAGCATCTCCCAATTTTTTTCAGAGCTATAGCTAAATTCTTTTCAAAGCTGAAGTGATAAGAGAAAACCCCCATTACCCTTTTCCCTCAAAACCAAAACCCTTAAATCCTAAAACTAATATCAGGCATTTATTTAGGAAACTTGACAGAGTTTCAAGCATTTGACCTAATACTTCTCACAGCCTCTCTTTGAGTCAATCCATCTGAGAGAAACTCTTACGATATGTTTCACATAAAGTATAGCTAGCAGTATAGAAACATCTGGAAATTGCTCAAAGCAACATAGAATGGAGTAGAGTATAAAATGGAGTTACTTTAGCTTGATCAGGTAGGAAAAAAGATTAAGGGGAGCTGAAACTATGCTGTATCTTGCATGTTCAAGATGTCTGTGCCTAACAGTGTGCTGTGTAAGGGGGATAGTTGTCTGTACGTGTTTAATCTGCTCTTCTGCAGCATAAGGTCCTATTATTTGAAGTCTGAATTTTTGTGAGAGGCCTTCACATCCAAGCCCAAAGCCCAGCTTGGGCTGTGCAGGTACTTTAGGGAGGCTCTGAAGCTCTTGGCAAGTGTGATTTCTGGACCATAACTCTCAGCACTCTGCTTTCTCCTCAGTATTTTCTGTACAGATTTCCTCAGGATGTTGATTCAGTCATCATTAAAGTGGTGTCTGATGCAGTCTACCCATGCTCCGTTGTCTCCGTCCAGGACATTGTGGTAAGCCTGAGCAGAGAAGGGTAAGGAGTTGCCTGCTGGAGCTCTGTGTCCTGCTGTGAGGGGGCCTCTGCTCCAACAGAGAGAAGAGACCCGGGAGCAGCTTCAGCTTAGTATGGTGGTGGTGAAGAGAGCCTCTGAAAGAGGAATGGAAACTGTGGGAAGGAGGCAAAGACAGGGCTGCTGAGTTCAAGCAGCTTGTACCAAGATTTTTATTGCAAATAGATGAACAAGCTGTTCCTCTCCAGCCTGTACACAGGGCATTTGTTATGTTCCCATCATGAGGTTTAATACCTTGCTGCACTGTGACATGGGTCTGTGTCTCCATGGAGTGGTGTTGGATGAGATGCCGGTGGCTGAGGGAGAGGGCAGTGCTGTTTCCTTGATGGAGCCTTCCCCTGGCTCAGGGCAGCATGGGGAGCTTCTGATTTCCAGACATGAGCTCTCTCCTCCTTTCCCATTCTATTTCCTCTCTATGCAATTACTCATCCCCTTTCATGGGAACAGGAGATCAGCTGTTCCCTGCAATGGAAGTTGGCTGTTGCTTGAAGCTGGGAGTAGCCCTATATTTATATTCCTTTCCCACCTCCCTTAATGATGCAAGGACCTGCATTTTGGAAGCAGCAAGGTGGTGGCAGAGGTGCACGATGGCGCGCAGAGGTGCAGCAGCCTTGGGTGCTGGCTCTGAAGTCCTGGCAGTCACCTTTAATACCTGGGGTGAGGAGAGAAATGAGTAACATCAACTCCTGCCCACATCCTTGTGTTTGAATGGTCGAAGGGCAGGAGGGGAGACTGTGACAGGTGATTTTCAACCTACCAGGTATTAAGGAGAGTGGAAAAGAGTAAAATGAAGGCAAGCACTTGGCATATAGTACAGACTGCAAAGCATGACATAACCAGTGTACAGCTGAGCATATACACTGCCCTGTGGGAATGATGGAGTGATCAATCTGGCTGAATGCTTCTGGGATTAAACTGCAGTCCCTTTGTGATAATGCCAAGATCAGTGAGTGCAGGCCACAACCGGTGTCTTCAGAGCAGCTTTCCTTACTTCTGAATGGGTCCTGGTTGTTCTGTTCCCCTTGTCATGCTGAGCAGGGCTTTTTTTCTGCTGTTCTGCTCTGTCCTTTTGCAGGCTCCCTGTGAAGTTAGTTCAGGTTCTGCCCCTGGTTTAACCCTTAGTTGTGTCTGTTTTAGTGCCCAGTGTATGATCTGGACCATAACGTGGAGTTCAACGGTGTTTACCAGTCTATGACTAAGCAGGCAGCCATAACGGTGCAGGTGAGATGCTGATATTTGTCACAGTATTGTTGTTTTGGGTTATTTTTGGTTTTGGTTTTGTTGGTCTGTTTTACTGGTTTGTCCTCTGCATTTCTAGCTTGCTTTTGATTCTGGTGTGCTGTAAGCTTTTGCTTTTTAGATCAGCTGGTATAAGTGGAAGAAGTCATATTACCTTTTACTACAAAACCTTGCTTATGTTTGCTTAGGTAGGTGTGTTATGCTTTTTGTGCTGAGGTTCTAGATCAGAGTGGCTGCAGCCACGTGCCTTCTGTTTGAACCTTGGCTCTTCTGCCATTAAGTGGTGGTAGTAGAGCCTTTATAATAAGCAAAACTTAGGTAGATGGTTTGCACTACTTAAAGTAAATAAATGCATTAATATTAGCTTGCTTGTACTGTGGCACTGCTGTGCTGCGTAGTGTTGAACTCAGTCAGCTTATTGTCAGCAAGGAGAAGGGGAGCATCCACAGAAGCCAAGCTCTGTGCAGAACAGGCAGGTGTCTATAAGGCTGGTGCCTGTCTAGTGACTAAAACCCGATTTCTGGCCTTTGGGAGCACTGCCTCTGCTTTGCATTGGAAGAAGAGGCTCCTTCATGTCTCATGGATTCTGCCTTCTTCTATCCTTCTGTGCAGAGAAAGGATTTTCCAGGTGAGCAGTTCTTCGTTGTATTTGTCATCAAGCCAGAGGATTATGCCTGTGGGGGTTCTGTGCCTTCTTCTATTCATGGTGAGTTGTGCTGGGAGGTAGATTTGGTTGCTGGTGGAGCAGCAGGAGTCCTTTGGGACCTTCTTGTGGGATGACATGGGATGACACGGGTTGTATGGCTCTCTTCCAAGTAGCTGTGAGGAAGAGTGAAGTATTAACTTGATATTGTTGGGTAGGTTGAAAGTCTTGGCCAATCTAGGAGGTGGCTTGCTGGTACAGTGCCTGGCTTGCTAGGGTTGTGTGCTTGTCAGAGGAGTCACTGGAGTCCTGGGAGGTGGCCAGGAAATGCTGGTTACAGCTTTTTGGAAAAAATGGTAATTTTAGGAGAATAATTTCACAGAGGCTTTTAATGTCTCTTTGGTTGAGAACGGCAGTAGAACAAATCTATTGCCTTTCCCAACCAGAAAACACTGTGTCCACTTCCTGGGCAGTGGTAAAAGCAAAGTCTCCACCACTTGTGGAGGCTGTAGCTGGAGTGGGGACATTCCTATCCTCAAAGCCAAATGGCTTCCTCCTGTATGAAAAGCAAGACTGCAGCCAACAGATACACTGGGCTCTCTCTACAGCCCCTTTCTCCTACCCCTCTCCCAATTTCACCCCTAAAACAAAAGTTTGCACATTCTGAGTGTCTTTGCTCATAGTTTTAGGATGAGGTAGAGTTGTATTGGCAGGGTGTGCTGAGCCCTGCTGAAACTGAGCCAGGCACTAGCACGGCAACCTGCACAGAAGTGGTTTGCCAGCAGAGCTTTGGCCAAAGGAAAAATGGTGTCGCAGTACTTGTAGTGAGAGAAAGTGCCCTTTGGGGACAAGATAAATAGGAGATAAGATGCTCTTTGGATTCAGGCATTCAGACCTGAGCAATGTATAGAAGGGTCAAGCAGGGATTTCTTATCTGAACAGGTTGTGGATATGGAGGAAGGGAAACCATACAGGAAAGGCTGTATGTTGACAAGTCTGAGTGAGGTTTAGAGCAAAACCACACAGAGATGATAGTGAAAAGGCAGATGCTGGTGTTTTCGCAAGTGCAGAGAACTAACATCAGGGCCAGAGATTTAGTGTTTGTTTTTATATTTGCTGTACACTTTACATCTCACAGGGAATGTCAACCGTACCTGGAACCTGCAGCGGACAAAGAACCTTCAAGTGACGATTGTGCCCTCTGTTAAAAGTCAGTGCCTTTGGGCAGAGCAATGCAACTGTATTTGGCACTTCTGTGTAGAAGGGTATGGCTGGGCTGGCAGCCCTCTGGTGGGATGGTGCAGAAAGCATCAGCAAAGGAGTCAAAACCCAGTTGGAGCCCTGGTGCCTTCTAGGAGCTGCTGTGTGGCACAGGGTGGTGTCATGGGCAGACCAACTAGCACTGGGGGTGGAGAAATGGGGGGAGACCTTGCAACAGGTTCTGGCAATTCCTCTTGAGGAAAGTGGATGGGTTTTGGAGGGCTGTTTTGAGCTGGGTGTTGTCACCAGGTGGTGGTGGAAAGAGCAGGATAGGAGCTCTGGCTCTGAGAGGGGCTCTCCCTGCTCTGAGTTGACTGATGACTTCTCTTTCCTCAGAGTCTGTTTATGTCCAGGCCATGTTCTTCAGTTTTCTGAGTTTCCTCTCCTTTTACCTGGGCTCAGTGGTTGTTGCTTTTGTGCACTACATCAGGTGAGTTGAAGGGTTTTACAAGAGCAACCTTTCTGTTTATCATCTGAGAGATGCCTCACCCTGCAGTACGTTTGGGGCAAGTGGGGTAGCAAGCATCTGAACAGAGCATCCAAAGAAGTCTATGACTACTCAGTATAGGCTCCTACTGACCATCAGGCAGATGGGGATCATGGCAGTGTGATACAGGGTGCCAGAGCACTGTGGGGGAAAGGTACTTCCCAGAGTGCTGGACTGAGTACTGCAATAAGTGGCAGTGACACAAACAGGGCCCTGGAGTCCTGAGAGTGCTGGTTTCCTTCCTGACCCGCCTCCCCTGCCCAGACTTCGGTGCCTAGGCTCGTGTTGAGGAGAATATCTGCATCTGAAGTGAACTTGGGCACAGGTACCATGACAGGTTGTTCTAGGGCAAAAAAGGTGGGGAGGAGGGGGAATTAACAAACAAAACTCTTCCCAGCTGCCCCAGAGTCCCTTTTTGCTCACTGGAGGTGACCTTGAAGTCCTCTTGAATGAGAGGAAGGACTGGAGGGACAGGAAGGGGACAGTAGCCTAAAAGGGAGGTAAGATTTGCCCCTGTAGTGTGGGTAACAGCTAGCACAGGATGAGAGATGAGAACCTTGGTGGAGCAGCTGGCAAGTGCTTTAATGTGGTGGGGGATGGTGGAATTTGTTGGGATCAGTCACTGCTGCCTGTGTAGACAATGACAACCAATTAGCAAATCCTTTGTACAAAGCATGGAGGCTTGAGAGGAGGGAGGCCCCTTCTCATACTTTCCTGCTCTACTAGGCAAAGGTTGGCATGAGAAGAGTCATATAAAGCTTTCATAAAATAACAGGTTGGTTTTGTGGGAGCATCACTTGTCAGCCAGCTCCTTACTCCTCAGAAAAAAATGGGAAGGAGTTTTCAGCTGCTGCAGAAGAGGGGATCTTAAAAGTTCGATGCTCTGAAATGGAAGAATTTCAAGATAGGGGCTTGGCTTTTCTTCAAGACACATCAATGAAATTACTGAAGTGCGTGTGCTCTTTTTTGCTGTTGTTTTTTCTTTGTTGTTGGTATATGGCTTTTTCTTCTCCTCCCCTGCTCAGCATCTGCACTGGAGGAGGTGGTATTGGTTTCTTAAGCATTGTGCTGATGCACACCTCTAGATCCTGCTCCCCTTTCAGTAGATTCTTACGCAGTCTGTCCCCTGAGCAGAGGAGTTGGGTTTGGGAAGATGGCCCACCATGCTGAGCAGTGTAGGATGGGATGGTCATCTAACTGGTTGTCCTGCCTCTGGTGGATAGTTGAGGGGGTAAAAATCCCCTCTGTTGCTTTGGAAAGTGGAGGGCTCGCAGTCATGGCTGAGCCATGGCTGGTCCAAACAGTGTTTTCCTTTTTTTACTGCTTTTGTTTGTTTCTTTTATGGTTTATTTATATCAGGTTGGTTTGGTTTTTCGAGGCTGTACCATCTTTGCCTATTGGCATCGTAGATAATCCTGCCATGGCTGGCAGGTGGTGGGGTTTGTTGGCTATCTCATAAGTGCTGTGTGTTCCTTTTCAGGGTTCAGAGGAAGGCTTCAACTGGGAGACTGTCCCCTGAGGATGGTAAGTTTTTCTTTCCTTGTGTGACAGATTCAAATGAACAGCACAGCAAGTACCTTCTATCCCTTCAAGCCTTTTTCCCTGTATATGTACCACATAGTCTCTGGTGTTAATAAAAGATGTTAGAGCTTCCTCTGCCCTCACAAGAGCACCTGAAACAGGCTCTCCTGAACCTGGTCCTGACCCCCTACCTCAAGGAGCTGGCTTTTAGAGGGGTGGAGGAAGGGCAAGCCTTGGCTAGATCTGGCTATAGTCTAATGTTCCTGATGCCAGGTCTGTTCATTTCTAAGTAAGGCACTCTGAGTTAGCCAGCTCTTATACTTTAAGATTTCCTCTCCCTGTTTTAAGCATAGGGTCTCTAATTTTTTTAGTTTAATTTAAATTTTAGTTTGTTTTTACCTGGAAATATTTCAACAAGTGAGTGAATGGCTGATACAGTTAGGTAGTGGTGTTTGTGTATTTACTTGTGGTATTGGGTTCAGTTTACTTTATGCTGCACCCACGTTTCAACATACTGCAGATTTCTGCTTTATACAAACATAGCTGCATCTGAGAGGCTACCGGTGGAAGATGGAAATTTTCGTGAAGGGGGGCACTGGGAGTTCCTGCTTTTTGGAGCAGTGTTGGAGGCTGTTTAAATATTTAGTGCCTGCAGAGCAGTTCAAAGCACTGGTGATGTTAAGGGCATTGTCATTTGTACCCCTCTCCTGGGGAAAGGGAAGATGTTATTTTTTGGCAGCATTGAAAGGTTCTTGAATTTCCTTCTTTAATCCTCAGCTCCTTCAGTCTCTCTGGTCTGCTACATGCCACCAGATAAGCATACTAGTATAACTGAGCTGTACTTAAAAGATCAGCAGTGGAGCTTCACTCTGACCTGGCATTACTTGGGTTAATATTTCTGCTGAGGACCTGGGGACATAAGGATTCTTCAGCCACTGAGATCCACATACACATCCCTGTATGTGGAATGTGTGTGAAAGGTTTTCTTCACAATCAAATGAGCAGGGGACTGTAAAATATGTATTTAAAAATATTATAATTTTAAGTCATTTGGGATGGATTCTGCTGTGAGACAACAGCAGGTCTTAGGACACTGGAGAAATGGGAAGGGCCTGTGTATCAGGAGAGTTCGGGAAAACTGAAGGGACCTGGCAGAGGCTGGAGGCCATGGAAGAGTTCCAGGATGGTGACAAGGGATCACTGTCTAAGACAAGGAGGCACAGCCTCAGCAGCCTGAGAGCAGGAGCCCCAGGGAGCACTGCTGGTGCTGCAGCTGAGTGTTCCTGTGCTGAAGGCAGCTCAGAAGCTGCTTTCCAAGCTGCCCTGGAGAGAGATGCAAGTTAAATTCTGGTGGTTGGGAAGTTCCTGCAGAAGCTGCAGGGCACAGATACTGTGCTCAGCACAGACCTGGAGGGTTCCTGCACAGGGAGGAGTGCTGAACAGCAGCCCTGTGACAGGACAGAGGAGTGCAGTTCCTTCACAGCTCCTCCCTGAGGCATCTCTCCTTCTGTGACCTGTCCTATTCCTTGTACTCTGACACCTTCACATGCTTGGCACTGCACATCAGAGCCACGTCTCCTGTGGGGAGGAACTGTGTCCTACCCACATGCTGTTGCTTTCTCTATAGTGTCTCTGCAGGGTGTGTGTCTGACTGATGCCTTTAAAATGGTAACTAGCATCCTCCCTGTCCTCCACATCACCAAGGGCATGCTTGCTTTCTTGGTTTTTTTTTTTTTTTTTTTTTCTCCCCTTCCCACCCACTGGAATTTCTCTTCCTCTAAAGTACTCCAGGATCTCATTGCCTTCATTGCTCCCATTTCCTTTCCCCTTCCCCACCAGGAAAGCGTGGATGGAGGTGCTGAGAAATCTGTCTCTGCCCTTTGTTTTTGAATATCCTGTAACTCCCTGTGCCCCTTTGCTCCTGTTACCCTCCTTATGCCCAGGTTCTGTGGTTAACTTTTTCCTAAGCCCATGGCACACCTCCCATTCCACATCATCACTACTTGGTGGAGGCAATAGCAGGAGGAACCACACCTAGTGTGGTACATTTACTTTGCTGACTCACTTGCACACTGTGAGGTGGGACTGAAATTAGTGCCTGAACTGGGTCCAGAGCACTTTAAAGCAACAGGAAAATATGCCACGAGAAAGGGAGGGTTGCACAGCAGGTGATGAGTAGAAGGTGGATCTTGCTCCTGTGGCAACCTACAACAGCATCCTGCTAATCCCATCTCAGGGCTGAAGGGGTGTCATGTGGGGGGCTGCAGTGTGCCAGAGCCTTCCCTCTGGTTCTCAGTCCATGCCATTTTGTCCACTTCTGATGCTCCTCAGGGCTGTTCAATTGCTTTCTTAGAGAGGCAGGTGAAGAAGCTGAAATGCAGACCAGCTCTCCACAGCCCCAGCAGCACAGTGAATGTGTCAAAGGAAAGCAGTAATTTGGACTTGAATGGACAAATGCATGAGATGGGGAAGGAGAAGAATTAGAAATTCAAAAGGGTGCTCTGAGTATTGGGAGACTTGCTCTAGAATTTGCCATGTCTTACAGCCCTTAATATGATCCCTACAGGGAGGTGGAGGGAGGCTTTTACTTCTGTGAGTCGAACTGGCAGCCTGTGTGGGGAGGCTGAAAGGGATGGGCTTGCTTCCCATTGCAAAGCAGAGGTTTCCCTTTTGCACAGTATGGCCCTAGAGAGATGCTGCCATCTGTGTGGAGAAATGATGCTTTTCCCAAGCCCTCCAGCTCTTCAAGCTGTTTGTATTCACCTCAGAGACCCGTTTCGAAGCACTGATGTGAAACTAATTGTCCCTTTTGGGTCTGCTTCCATGGCAGGATCTGGGATCATGACGTCTTCACACCCCATCACAGCCAGCACCCCTGAGGGGAGCAGCTATGGTGCTATTGGTATGGTATCTTCCAGAACTGGGGGCATGGGGAGGGTTCTTCTTAGAGCAGGAGAAGGAACTTTAAGGTGCTTTAAGGCCAGAAGGGAGTAAAACTGCAAACTGCTTTAGGAGCAGCTTTCAACTACTTGGAAAAACACAAATAAATGGCAGCTTGGGAAGTTCAGGTTGCACTTTAGGGCAAAACATCTACATCAGAAAGGTGGCACATCTCTGGAAGAGGTGCCCAGAGAGGCTCTGTCATTGGAAATGTTCATCTCAGCTAGATAACTCACCTGTTAAGTGTTGGTGGCAATCCTGCTTCAGGCAGGAGGACTGACAAAGGTCCCTTCCAACCAAGCTTCCAGGACTCTGTCATTAGCTCATCAAGCCTGCCTTGAGACCATGCCTTTCACTGGAAGGTTGAAGAATTGTGTGCTGCAAGGCAAGACAGAATCAAAGCTTATTGTGGTTTCATTAGGGGAGAAATAATGTCATTCTGTCAACAGCTGGTAGCAGAGGAGGAAGACAACCTCTCAATGGTCCTGTTAATCAGAGATGATGGGCAATGCCTTCCTTTGCCAGAGTATTTCTTAATCCTTAACAACTGCTTTCCCTCCTTTGGAGGGATTGGTATTGAATAGCTCAGTGTTGTGGACTTCTGAGCATAATCCTTGAATTTGATGGCTTGGGGCCCTGAGTTGCAGGGTGAGGTGATGCAGATCCAAGGCAGCATGAGGCAGCTGCTCAAATGAGGAGAGCAGCTCTGTGTAATTTTTGGTCCTTGCTCAGGATGCATTTGTTCACTGTGGTGTAAAGTCAGCCCTGATACTCTGGATGTCATCCAGTTATTAGACTGTGAAGGTGTGATATCTCTGGATGCTTGACAAAGAAACACAGAGCTGATACTTAATGAGGTTTAGGAAAAATTCAGGAGGATTTAAGTCCTGGAATAGAGGGCTTCAGCACCACCCTATCCCTCTTCCCCAGTTCCCAAGGAAGCGCTTTAAAAGCATTTGGGAAATGAAGAAGAAACTTCTGTTCTGCTCATGCTAGGATGAGCAGTGGGCTGGCTGGGAGCTTGGCAGCTTGCTTCTTGCTGTGCACAGAGGGATTTAGCCTTTACCCTGCCCGTTTCCTTCTCCTCACTCTGCTCCAGATGAGTCAAGCTCCAGTGGTGGACGACAGTTTTCTTCCCCTGAAGGCAGGCCACGGGCTGGTTCTGACACAGACAGCTCTGTGGAGGAGGAGAGTGACTTCGACACCATGCCAGAGATTGAAAGTGATAAGAACATCATCCGCACTAAGGTACGGCTGACGCCGCAGTTGTGGCGTGGTGCTGGGCCATGGACACACCTGGGCCAGGACCAGCACTAGTCAGTTGCCAGGAATTTTAAGTTTCAGGTTCTTTCTTAGGTAGATCAAATTTAATAAAGCTGAATGTGCTGCTTAGTGGGTTTTGTCAGGGTCTAGAAAGTTTTCCTGCTGTGCTGAGTGTATTGGTGAAATGAGCAATTTAGTATGGAAAACTAGAATGTATTGGGAACTATTGAGAAAGGAAGAATCACAGAATATCCCAGAAAGTCCAAGGAGATGCAACAGCATAAGGAGAAAATAATATGCAATAGTAGGTCATTATCTGGTATAAGCAGCGTGACTGCAGTGTGTATGCTTAAAGAGGGACTTTAAGCTAGCAGCTCTCAAAATGCCTCCTTTTGCCAGCCTGCATGGCTCTGTGTGGTCAGAGCCATTCCTGGAGGTCAGAGTTTTGCAGAACTCATTCCCCATAGGATCAAAGGACACATTGAGTTTACTGTGTAAAAAATGGTCCAAATAATAGCACCAAGCTGCATGTTGTCCCAATACTTCTGTAGTCTTCATTAGTTCGTTTCTGTTTTCTTTGATCTTTCCCCTCCCACTAATGTTTTAGGTGTTCCTCTATCTATCAGACCTGTCCAGGAAGGACCGAAGGATTGTCAGCAAAAAATACAAGATCTATTTCTGGTAAGGAGAAGACAAACTGGTAAGGCCCAAGCTCTGGAACCAGTATCTGGTTATGAAGTCTGCCCATGTGCCCTTCTTCTGAACCACACTTTGGACATGAGAATATTCTTTGAACCACCCTACTACACATTCTGACCCTGTTCCAACCAGTAACTGCAGATCCCACATACCTCAAATAAGGATATTTTTGGACCAGTGCACATATGATCCTGACAATGGATTCTGGCTTGCATAATTGCTCTAAAGTGTGGTAACAACCGGTGTGCTGGAACATAGTGGGGAAGGGGAGAAATGGGCACTCAAACACATGAGCTTGTGGTCCAAATGCTATTTTTTCTTGTGCCTTTAGCATTTGCCTCATGCTTTTTTAATCTCCTGCTTCGGGAGATCATAGGCAGAGGTATAAAGCTTGCAGGGTCTGTGCCCTTAGGCATCAAGGTGTACACCTTCCTCCACAAGCACTATGGGGATCTGTCCTGGGTGTGCACCAATTGTTTTGGTGTGTGTAACTGCTGCTACCGTCTCTTCTCTGCAGGAATATCATCACCATTGCAGTGTTTTATGCCCTGCCAGTCATCCAGCTCGTCATCACTTACCAGACGGTGCGTTGGGTTCTGTCTGTCCCCCTTGTTTGGGTCCTCTTGTCCTTAGACTTGCTCTGTGGTTGCATGGTGTTAAGGATGACAGTCACAGTGAAACCCAGGAATCCTGCTAGGCTGAGGAGCAGTGTACCTTAGCTGCTCTCTCTGCTCTGTGTCAACTGGGGCTTAGCTTGCCAAGCTTGCAGTTCTGCTATTTTTGCTTGGGAAGTGGGAGTGCAGCTGGCTTTCCTGCTCATCTGATGTCTCATTTGGGGCCTGTTTCATTTTAGAGGCAGGAGAAATCTGCTGTTATCTCTAAAAGAGAACCGAAAGCGAGTAGGGTTTGCTGTGATTTGAGTGATTTCTCCTCCCTTCTCCCCACCCTTGCTATCCTGCTGTTACTCAGGTATCTGCAAGCAGATCTATTAGTGGTGGGGCTGAGAGCACAAAATGTGTTTCCTCTGAAGACCATTATCAGGTTTGTGGCCTGTGGCAAGATCTTATCATATGAAGTCAGGCTGAGAAAGTTGGGGCTGTTCAGCCTGGAGAAGCGAAGCTGTGTGGAGACGTCAGAGCAGCTTCTAGTGTCTGAAGGGGCCTACAAGGGTACTGGAGAGGGACTCTTCACCAGGGGCTGTAGTGATAGGACAAGGGGTGATGGGTTCAAACTGAAACAGGGAAAGTCCAGGTTAGATATAAGGAAGTTCTTTACTGTGAGGGTGATGAGGCACTGGCACAGGTAGCCCAGAGAAGTGGTAAATGGTTCATCCCTGGCAGTGTTCAAGGCCAGGTTGGAGGGAGCCTTGGGTGACATGGTCTAGTGTGAGGCGTCTCTGCCCATGGCAGGGGGTTGGAACTGGATGATCTTCAGGTCCTTTCCAACCCAAACCATTCTGTGATTCTATGAAGGGACCTTCAAAAGTCATCTAGTCCAGCCCCTCTGCAATATTGTCTACCCCCTAAAAGCTTCACTTGCAGATGTTGGTACCCCCCTCCACCAGTGTTAGAGCTAGGTTGTGTCCTGGTACACCTCGTGTACATTCTGAGTTTGCATGAAGCAAACCCCAGAGAACAAGGAGGCTTTGCTAATATCGGGTCTGTCACCTCCTCTTTGTCCAGGTAGTGAATGTGACAGGCAATCAGGACATCTGCTACTACAACTTTCTGTGTGCTCATCCCCTTGGGGTGCTGAGGTGAGTGAGCCCTGTGGTCACTGCATTATTGTCTCATGCCTCCTGAGAGTTTGTGCTGAGCCCAGGTCAGGATTTTATCCTTGCCAGGCTTACAGTAAGAGTGTTAAGACCACTGAGAGTTTAGGACTCCGAGCGGTCTCTTGCTCAGCAGTGGCTTTCCGTTGCAGTGAGACACATGCATCCGGGGTCAGATGGCACATGGGTTCTCCTAGCAATCTCACATGCATCCAGGATCAGATGGCACGTGGGTTCTCATAGCAAACCTACGGCACAGCAATGAGGTGCTCCCATGCTCTTCTGGACACTCTAATTTGTATCCAAGGAACAGCAAAGAAGTTCAGATCAGACCTTACAGTGCAGCATTCCTCTGAACTAATGTGGGAGTGCAAAGAAAGCTCATAGTTGGGAATCTTGCCCCAATGGCTTTAACACTTCCTCTGCAAGTCAACTACTCAACTTAAAGTTGCCATCCAGGGTGTAAAGCTGGCAGGTGTTTGGTAGCTGCTGAGGTGGAGGATGGTGAGGGGGGAGCAAAATGGTTTCAGCTTATCATTGTGCAGAGTTCATCTTCCTGCTGCTGTTCTGCCTTTGTCATAAACCTTCTTTTTCCCTGCAGTGCATTCAACAACATCCTCAGCAATGTGGGCCACATGCTGCTGGGCTTTCTCTTCCTGCTCATTGTGTTGCGCAGGGACATTCTTCACCGTCGTGCCATGGAGATGAAAGATGTCTATACACTGGTAGGAAGCATGGCTGCAGGGGGCTGAGTGGAGGGAAAAAAGACAGGGAGAACTCGAAAACCAGAGTGATACACAGTGGGTTTCCATTTGCCTTCCTTGCTGGAGGATTGAATCCTCCTCTTTTTTCCAAGCCTGGAAAAGGGTCTCAGTGGGATGCTTATGTTCTTGCGCACCCCAGTACTTGGCTGCTTACAGTATGTACATACTGCCTCAGTGACCCAGCCTGGGCTTGCAAAGACAAGGAGATGAGTAGAGGAATGACTCCTGTGGCTGTGGTACAGTGCTTACTGTGGAGGAACTGGAACAGTAGGAGTGTCCCAAGATGCTTTTGTTTAAAGTGATGTTTGATTTGTCTTATGCAATCACGAGTTCCTTCTTTGCATTCTTGGTAGCAAGAGGTAATAGAGCTGCCTATGATAACCCAGAAGAATGTGGCTGCCTCTAGCTCCAAAGCAAAGCTGCTTGTAGCCAGAGCTTGCTTCAGTATCATCTGGGAGAGGATGGAGAAATCTGCAGCCCCATGGGCAGTGGTGCTGGTGGTTTCTGGGGACAAACAATTCCATTTTTCACTGGTTTGGTACCAAGTAAAGGCCTTAGCAGTTTTAAGGGTCTGCTGCTTATGTTCAGATGAGATCTCAGCCAGATTGTGATGGAGATGCCATCTCACTTGGGTTGATGGGCTCTGCTCCTCAGGTGCTTTTAACCCCCTACTGACCACAAGAGCAAGGCCGCTATTTTGGGTCCCCAGTGCTCTCAATTTTGGGCAGGATGTATTATGGCACAAGGTACAGGAGAAGAGATAGAAGAGACTTTTTAGTCTCAGGATGTCAGTACCAAGACACTGAGGTCTCCAGCCCAGAAGTTTCTGTGTGATTGGCTTGGGTTTGCTGCCTGTAGATTCACCTGGCTATGCAGTGTGACTAAATGCAGAGCCTGTGGTTGCATACAGCACACACTGTGCTGTGCTGGTCACTGAAGGATGTGTGTAGGGGTTAGGAGGGATGGAGTGGTGGAGAGTGGAAGCTCGCTTGACATCAGGACAGTGATGGTACAGGGTACTTACTATACAGCTCTGCTCTCTTCCAGGACTATGGGATTCCAAAGCATTTTGGTCTCTTCTATGCGATGGGCATTGCTCTAATGATGGAAGGGGTGCTCAGTGCCTGTTATCATGTCTGCCCTAATTACTCCAATTTCCAGTTTGGTAAGCTGAGTTTCCTTCCTGCTTTTGAGCTGGAGGTAGGATTTAGCATGCTTTGTTTCCCACTGAGTTGCTCATTTTTCACATCCCTCTACCCTTGCAAACCTCCCTGGAGTCTGCCTGTTCCAGGGCTCAGTCAGGAGGCAGTGACGCTTTGGATGCTGGGGACTAACACATTTCAGCCTCCTCTGCGCACCTTGGGACTCTGGTAGTGCACTGCTGGCAAGATCTCCCTTTTGCAGCTCAGTGTTTGAAGATAGTAAGCACACAGCCTGAGTGGCAAAGTGCTCAAGCGTAGGAAGCCTCTGTTTGCCATCTCAGTGGAAACTTCACTCTGTGGGCTCCTTTGGCTTCCTGAGGAAGAGAAAACTCAGGCTGGTTTTTGTCTATGTGCATAAATACCCAAGGAGATTGTCTATGTGCATAAATACCCAAGGAGACGGAATGAAGATGAGTGAGCCAGACTCTTCTTAGTGGTGCCCAGTGGCAGAACAAGAAGCAGTGGGCACAAATTAAAATGCAGGAAACTCCATCTGAACACAGGAAAATGGGTCACCAAAAACTAAACAGGTTGTCCAGAAAGGTTGTGAAGTTTTCTGTGGAAATAGTCAAAAGGGGGCTGGACACTGCCCTCTCATAGCTGACCCTGCTTGAGCAAGGGGTGTTAGACCAGACAACCTCCAAAGGTCTGTTCTAACCTCAACCATTCTGTGATTCCTTGCCCTGTGGGCACATTCTGTGGGCCTTTATTTTGAGCCTTTTTAGTTTTTGTTGCCCCAGAGCATGGGGCGTGTGCTGCAAGATGGCAAAGCACCAAGTGCTGTACCACATAATGCAGCATCAGGGCTTTGTGCCTGCCAGCCTTGGGTTTGGCCCTGCTGCTGCACTTCTTTATAAGCACTTGGAGCAGCTTTCTCAGCCTACTGGCAGTACCTGTTTTAACTGCTCTGTTGTGCTCCCTCCACAGACACCTCCTTCATGTACATGATCGCAGGACTGTGCATGCTGAAGCTCTACCAGACCCGCCACCCAGACATCAATGCCAGTGCCTACTCTGCCTATGCCTCGTTTGCTGTGGTGATCTGTCTGGCCGTCCTTGGAGTGGTATGAATCCCTCTTACCTACCTGCTTGTCTGGGAAGGAGATGGCATGCCTGGGAACAAAGCTTAAGTGTGCAAATGGCTGGGGAGAGCAGCAGAGTAGGATAAGAGCGTGTTAAGCAGCTGCTAGCATTTGGATTTCTGATACTCCGTGTTTCCCTCCTTCCTTCCCCTGGGCTTGCAGGGAGGGAAAGAACAGAGCAGTTTCTTCCAGTTGGGCTCCTTTTTGGGCTTTGACCACCACATGCCCTTCTTCTTAAGAGGAAGAATTCATGCATCCAGGGTGTCTGTGTCGAAGCATGCAGCTGGTGTCCTGTGTGGTGGCTCAACTTGGAGGCACAGCTTCTGCAGTTGGCCTTCCTTTGGGGACATGCGGGGCTACAATAATGGCCTGGAGGCTTCCAGGCAGGTTTCTGGGCTGGACCTCTCTAGAGAAGGGCACTGGAGCAGAAGGAGTCACCAGAATTGCTCTTGTGCACCAGTAGTCATGGACAGGTCAGACTTGTACAGGGCTTTGCCTATTTGCTCATAGCATTGCAAGTACTGAGCTGGGCTTGCCTGAATCCCCAACCTGTGCTTTGCCTTGGAGGTCTCTGCTTCCCTTCTTTTGAAGGACTCATTTCCATTCAGCTGCTCTGAAGTAGCAGCTAGAGCGTAGGCCTCTGGGTAGGAGACTGTCCGATAAGGCATGCAGAAGAAACTGGTGAACTTGGGACCTTCTAAGAATCTCCTGATAGCTATGGTAGATCTGCACACCCAGGTTCAAAACACTGGGGTTTTATTATGGGATGCTGTTATCTTTTCTTGTGGGATGCTTTTAAGCTGTTCAGTGGAGCTTGTTTCCCTTGCTCCGTTCATATAGAGGTGGCTTTTCTGCTTGATTCCCACACCAAAGAAAAAGTTCAGGCAAGTTTTGTGCCCCAGGGGAGGGGAGTGTGTGGTGACAGCCTGATGGCAGACCTGAGTTTCTGGACTCCTTAATGTATAACTGGAAAATTAAGGTTTTAATATAGCATTAACTTGCATTTGTAGGTCACTTCCAGATCTTAAAGCGAAAGTGTGGAGCAATTGCCTGCAGAGCAGTTTTGTGCTTTTTGGCCTGTTGCAGTGCCCTTGTTAATGTTTAGTTCCTTGACAGCCTTGTAGAAATCCAGCTCCTTTCCAGCTCAGCAGAAAGAACTTGTCTGGCCTGGGGGTCCCTCCATTTCTGCTCCCTGGGCCTTTCTTTCAGAAAGCTGCTGTCTTTTCGAGCTGCTGTCTTTTCGAGCTGCTGTCTTTTCGAGCTGCTGTCTTTTCGAGCTGCTGTCTTTGACTGAAGGTGTGTTCAGAAAGAATGGTCTCCTCTCTAGAATGCTGAGCTCCTCTTGCTTCTCTGAGCTGCTGTCTTTTCGAGCTGCTGTCTTTTCGAGCTGCTGTCTTTTCGAGCTGCTGTCTTTTCGAGCTGCTGTCTTTTCGAGCTGCTGTCTTTGACTGAAGGTGTGTTCAGAAAGAATGGTCTCCTCTCTAGAATGCTGAGCTCCTCTTGCTTCTCTGAACTTTGTTTTGCATTTATAGATTAGGTTGAAATATTAGGGGTTTCTCTTCCACATTCAATAAGGTTGTCAAATAGCCCACAATGATGCAGGACAGGGAAGGATTAACCTGCTGATAACTGAGCTCCATTTGCTTTTAATGTGTCTTTGCTTTCAGGTGTTTGGGAAAAATGACGTCTGGTTTTGGGTCATTTTCTCAATAATCCATGTTTTGGCCTCGCTGGCTCTCAGCACCCAGATCTACTACATGGGCCGCTTCAAGATTGGTAAGTGCTGTGACGGAACCAGCTTGCTCTCGGGTGTGCAGGTGCCTCCTGCCCTCACCTGCATGAGTTGCCTGTGCAGCGTGTCTGTGAGCACAGTCCCGTGGCCTGTGCTTGTGTTCTGGGTTATCCTGTCCTTTTATCCATCTGATGCTCTTCTGGCATCTTCTGAAGTGCTCGTGCTGCTGCCTCCCAGGCCCATGGAAGTCAGCAGGACCTGTCTGCGCTGTGGTGGCAGAAGAGCTGGGCTCTGAGGGCGCCTGCCTTTCAGCTACAGCTCTCCCTAGTGCTGTGCTCAGAGTAGTGAGCTACATAAAACCTTGTCATGGGATGAGAGGGAAGAGGGTTTGGTGGGGAAGCTGGCTCTTGTGCTCTGGTTGCAAACATATTTCTCCTTCCTCTTCTGCTCCTGTCTGCCTCAGATGGCCCTGACTCAGGTAACTGTCAGCAGCTCTCATTTTTTCTCTGTTGAATGGATTGAGCAGGGGTGTAGCAGCTGGGGATGCATGTATGTGTGTGGGGATGTGTGTATCACCTGAGGTGGGCTCTTGAGCAGCAAAGTCAGTTTATTAGCAGCACTGCCAGCCCTGTTCCTTGGCAGGAAAGGAGTGATATAGCACAGGAGAGCTCTGATCTTGGTGCAGGAGCCTTTTCAAGCTCCACATCTGTGGCATGTGTGTGTATGCATGTCCATCTATCCCACTGCCCCTGGTGGCTCTCCAGTGAAGCTTCTGCAGTGATTTTCAGAGCAAGAGTGTCTTCAGTCTGCTCTGGCCCTCTAGGACTCTCAGGGCTGTGGGATTTGTTCCTGATGTTTCCCTGCTCTGGCAGCTTGTTCCATGGAAGGTGATTTTTCCCCCGTCCTGCACAGACATCTCTCTTCCAGAGATGAGGTTGCAAAGCTTTACCTGTTTTTCTGGCCACATGCTATCCACATCCTGTGGTGGCTTTCCTTCTGCTCCCAAAGGGCAAGAAATGAATCTGCTGACACCTTGACCATCCACAGGCTGGGTTCTCTGTTGTCAGCTAGCGGGTGTCTGTGTCTTCCCCCATAGGCATTTCAGAGCTCACTCTACTGGCTGTTCTGGCTTTTTATCCTCTTCTTTGACAGACTTGGGGATGTTTCGACGGGCAGTAATGGTGCTGTACACAGACTGTATCCAGCGCTGCAGTCGACCAATGTATATGGTAGGTGATTGCTCACCTTGGCACCTCTCTCAGCAGTTGCTCACTTTCTAGGCAATGTGCACAGGAAAGAGAAGTGGCTGTTTGAGAAACGATGCTCCCTGATTCCTTTCTTTGCTTTCACCAATGTTCAAAGAAACGGCTATGAGGCTCTGCAGCGCACAGAGCTTCCCTCTTTGGGGAAGGCAGTAACTATTTTATTCAGTGGCTTAAGCAACAGCTATTGCTATTTCTACAGCACCTCAGGGCAGGCAGCAAAAAAAGGTAAGAAATGGTAGCTGCTACCTTGTGTCCTACCGATGACTTAATTTTTGGCGCAGAGTGCTAATGAGGCTTGAAGCTAAATGAAGTTTTTATCCATGAGCATCCTGTTTATATATTCTCAAATTTCTTTATTCTCCTATCTCTGAATAAGTGTTAACCCAAGTTTTGCAAGCAAACTTGGTGCACTCAGGCATAAAGCAAGCCTGGCTGGCCTGAAAGAGCTACATCATGAAAGCAGCTGTAAGCATAAATGCACATGCCCCGCAGATGTAAACTCTCTGCCTGCTGCAGTTCCAGGGCTTCCCTAGCTAATGACGAGATAGGTGAAAACAGGCCCTGTGGGTATGTGCAGGATGTTATTCCAAAGCTTCCCCTGCTGCGTCTTTGAAGCACATCCTCCCTCTGTGCAATAATTTTTCTGTAAAATGGTGGGAGGGAAGGAATCTTGCTAGAAGAATAGTGGAAACAAAGGCTTTGCAGAACCTACTGGGGCTGATTATTAAGTGCTAGGCTTGTGCTTCTTCAGATGTTTAGTCTCCTCTTTGCAATGCTTTCTTCAGGTTTGCAAGGGCCGGAGTAGTTTCCATCTGGAAAAATCTCCTGCAGAGCAGACTTAAGAGCCAGGTGCATGTGTGTTTGCAGGAGCCAGACTCCAAATCCTCACATAATGATATGAATTTCTGAGGCAGAAGCCTCTTTGTGCATTTCCTTCTGCTTTCATATGATCATCAGTGTCTTCTCTCCCAGGACAGGATGGTGCTGCTCATTGTTGGAAACCTGGTCAACTGGTCCTTGTGAGTACTGGGGTGTTGATGTCTTGTGTACACATGGGCAGCAGGATTCTGTAGTGACCTGGTGACCTGAAGTGGTGGGGAAATGCAACAGTGTCTATGCAATAATCCTATGCTGGGGCCTCTCTGACATGTTTTGGCAAGAAGTTTGATCTCATGAGTGTTGATGGTTGTCAGATCCATAGAATCATAGAATAGAATTGTAGACTGGTCTAGGTTGGAAAGGACTGTAAGATAAACTAGTTCCAACCCCCTGCCATGGGCAGGGACACCTCCCACAAGACCAGGTTGCTCAAGGTCCTGTCCAGCCTGGCCTTGAGCACTGCCAAGGATGGAGCATTCACCACTTCTTTGGCCAACCTGTGCCAGTGCCTCAGCACCCTTCACAGTAAAGAACTTCCTCCTTACATCTAGCCTGAATTTCCCGTGTTTCAGCTTGAATCCATCACCCCTTGTCCTATTGCTACAGTCCCTGATGAAGAGTCCCTCTCCAGCATCCTTGTAGCTCCCTTCAGACACTGGAAGCTGCTCTGAGGTCTCCACGCAGCTTCTCTTGTCCAGGCTGAACAGCACCAACATCCTCAGGCTATCACAGGATGCAGTGCAGCACTACAGAGCCATGTGAGGCATAGCTGGTCTGGTACCATGGTGTTGCACTGTGCTGTACATGTGCTTTCTGTGTAGCTGGGAGGTCTCTGGCACAGTCAAGTTACAGGAGATTTGACAGACACTTGTTAGTCACAATCACAGAGCCTGGCTCAGTGGTATCGGTGTGGATGGGAGGGATTAGCTCTTGGATGAGACCTAAAATCGCTGTGAAGAGCTCTTGCTTTTCACCAAAAGGTGCTTCTCAGGGACATGCCTTCTGCTAAACCTACAGGTCTGGAGGCAACTCCTATTGAGTGAGATGTGTTTGGCTGTGGGTTGGAAGCAACCTAGTGCCACTGCCTGTCCTCTGCGGTCTTTGGTTGCTCTCAGGGGTTGCCAGTGGCCAAATTTGCTTGGCAGGGAGCAGAGGCAAACAGTGCATTTCCTCCAGGGAACTGGGCATCTGTGGCAGTGTTGTTGTGTCCTGTGGTTGGAGGGCAGCGGGTGCTGTCTAACATCCCTTCTTCCCTCTTTCTCAGTGCCGTCTTTGGGCTGGTGTATCGGCCCAGGGACTTCGCCTCCTACATACTGGGGATCTTTATCTGTAACCTCTTGCTGTATCTGGCTTTCTACATCATCATGAAGGTAAAGGGAGGCATCTGTAGCTGTTCTGTCCCAGGGGCACCTGTCTCAAAGGGGAAAGGATGGACATCATTTTCTGGCTGTAGTTTGTGTTCCTGTGGTGCTGCAGAGGGATGTGGAAGGGTCTTTGTGGGGCTAAGCATGGGACGAGGTGTTGGTGTCGGGGAGGGATGCTGTGTAGCCATCTCAGGGTGGCTGGGCTGTGTTTCCCTGGGGTGGCTAGCCCTCTGTAGCTGCATCTGGTCCTGGCTGGCATGTCAGTCCTATGCATGGCTCCAGACCCTGGGAAGGGCTCAGGGCATGATGTGAGGCTACTTCCCTGTCTGCAGCTCCGCAGCTCTGAGAAGCTCCTGCCCATCCCTATGTTCTGCATTGTGGCCACAGCAGTGGTGTGGGCAGCTGCCCTCTACTTCTTCTTCCAGACCCTCAGCAGCTGGGAGGTAAAGTTCTCCTTTCACTGATCTTCTGTCCATCTCTATTTCATCACCTTTCCTTCCTGTTCGTTTTACACAAAAGATACTCCAGGGAAGAGTCTTGAGCTGCTCCTGGAGAGCTGAAAGGGCTCAACTCCTCCAGCAGACTGGGATGGGAGCATGGGAAGCTGTGTGGGGGCTGTGCAGCTTGTGCTGTGCAGGACCTCAGATGCGGAGACCAGAGGGACCCTCAGCCATGGGCTGTGGCCCCAGACCCATCTCCAGGTCTAATCCTGCCCTGCTATCACCACATGTCCAGCCAGCACTGTGCTTTTTCCTGACTTCTGCATGGAGAGTAAAGACAGGGCGATCTCCAGAGGGTCCAAAATGGCCAGAAAGGTTGCTGTGTGAGTGGCTATTGGGTACTGACCCCTCACCTGCTCCCCTAGGAGACTCCAGCAGAGTCCCGGGAAAAGAACCGGCCCTGCATCCTGCTGGGCTTCTTCGATGACCATGACGTCTGGCACTTCCTCTCCGCGGCTGCCTTGTTCTTCTCCTTTCTGGTGAGTCCTGCTGAGCCTCCCACTCTGCTCTATGGCCTCACGCTCTCTTTTTCCTCCTCGTTGCTCTGTGCACATGGAGCTGTGGCTTCCTCAGGACCCCACAGAAGTGCCCAACTCCTTCGCTTGGCTCTGCCTCCTGACACCTTTCACAGTGGGATCAGGCTTTGGCATTTGGCTTGTTGCTCCCTGGCATCAAATTCCCTCTAGGGCTGTGGGTCACAGAGCTATTGTGGGGAAGCTGAGGGGCTGCTGGTGTGACCAACACTCTCACAGGTTTGTGAGGACCTCCCAGGAAGGGACCCTACCCCCTTTGACCCAGGCAGTAGGGTCACTGGTGTGGAGCTTACCTCAGTCCTCAGCTTTCTGTCACTTCCATTATTGGCTCCTATGCTCCTTTACTTAGAACCTCTTTTCAGGCCTGATGGTCTGTGTGGTGGCAAAGGTGGAGGCATCCCCTGTGATGGGGTCAGAGCATATTGTTTTGGGGAAATAAAAAAGGGGAACCTTAACCCTAGCTGCACAAGGTGCAAACTGTGAAGGAGCTGCCTGGCCTCTTGCAATGCCTGACCTGTGGTCAAGCAATTCCCACCCTGCTGCCTCCTGGATGGCTCTCTCCAGAGGCTAGTGATGAGGGACCAGTTTACAAGCAGCATCTCCATCATATATGAGGCACGGTTACCTGCTCAGCTGTGCTGCCAGAGTGACTTGCTGGGAGCATTACAGAAGCAAAATGAATCTGGCGTAGCTCCAGGGGTTGCTGTAGTGACTCCTGTACATGCCGGAGATGTGGCCCAGGTGGAACCCCCATGTGATGAGATGCTGTCAGGAGCTGGTCACTCTCCCCAGCTGTGGGCTGGCCAGCGAAACCTGAAGTTGCCTCATGCTTTCCTCCTCAGGTCCTGCTGACCCTGGATGATGACCTGGACGTGGTGCGCAGAGACAAGATCCCGGTGTTCTGAGTGCCAGGGGATAGGGGCGCAGGGGCGTCCCAAACCACTCAGCCAAGGCCACTTGGGCCACTGGCATCTGTGGGGAATGAGCCTGCTCCCGTGGCCAAACAGCCCTGTGGGAGCAGGGGAGCCAGATCCCACAGCAAGTATCAAGGGTGCTGTGGTAACTGAGGTGGGACTGGGAGGGAAGATGATGTTTTCTCTTATCCCACCACATCCTCTGGGGCAGGCATGACCCAGCGCTGAGGCCAGTGCACAGCCCCTGGCTTATAGGTGCAGCGGGTGCTGGAGCCAGTGAAGAGGGAGGAAGCAGGAGGTGTGTTTGAGACCTTGGCTTCCCTTCCT